GTTTTTAGTTTTCTGAAAAAGAAGTATTTGCTGAAGAGCACTTAAATTTTGGAGGCCTAATTATTCTACCTATTTCTCATAATTCATCCAGTTAGAGAACAGAAATGTATCAGCTCAGCGGTATTTTCAATCAAACCTATCCCATTTTAACGTCCACTGTATCACGACCACTATTCTTAACAAAAAGCTCCGAGCTAGGAGAAACTTAACAGGAATCAGTCAATTGATTAGAGAATACGTGTGGGAAAATCGCAACCTCTTTAGACCAAGTGTTTCCAAGCTTTTGGGAACTAGAATAACTTTCAATTAAACTCACTAAAATAGGGCAACTAGAGCTGGTTGCTCAGGGCTGTGTCCAGTTGGGTTTTGAATATCTCCAAGGATGGAGACTCCCCACCCACTCTGGGCAGCCCATTCCAGTGTTCAACCACTCCCACTGTAAAAAAGGGGTTTTTTAATGTTTAAATGGAATTTCCTGAATTTCAGTTTGTGCCCATTGCCTCTTGTCTTGTCTCTGGAGGCCACTGAGAAGAGTCCGGTTTCAGCTTCTTTTTATCCCCCTGGCAATCAGGTATATATTGATAAGATGCCCCTGAGCCTTGTCTCCTCCAAGTTGAACAGTTCCACCTCTTTCAGCCTCTCCTCATGTGTCAGAGGCTCCAAATCTTTAATCATCTTTGTGGCCCTTGGCTGGACTCTATCCAGTAAGTCCATATCTCCCTTGTAGTGGGAAGCCCAGCACTGGACCCAGCACTCCAGGTGTGTCTCACCAGTGCTGAGCAGAGGGGAAGGACCACCTCCCTCCACCTGCTGGAGATGTTCTGCCGAGTGCAGCCCAGGAGGTTGTTGGCCGCCTTTGCCACAAGGGCTCATCGCTGGCTCATGGTCAACTTGGTGTCCACTAGGACACGAGGGTCTTTCCAGCAGGTTGGTCCCAGCCTGTTATGGTGCCTGGGGTTATTCCTCCCCAGGGGCAGGATTTGGCATTTCCATTTGCTGAACTTCATAAAGTTCCTCTCAGCCCATGTCCCCAGCCTGTCGAGGTCCCTCTGGATGGCAGCACAACCCTCTGGCGTATCAGCCACTCCTCCCAGCTTTGTGTCATCTGTAAACTTGCTGAGCACGTGCTCTGTCCCAGTGTCCAGGTCGTTAATGAAGGTGTTGGACAGTATCGGCCCCTGGGGGTAGCATTTCCTCTCATTGCTATGGAGGTGATGGAAAACAACACACTTAGCCCCCCAGGTGATTTCTGAAAAAGCCTGTCACAGACATTGCTGCTGGCCGATGTATATGTGACAATAAACATAAGTTCACATTTCTTTTGTTGTTTAATTTTCTTAATGGGTAGCTTTATGCAGATAGGCGGAATGATGCTGCCAGCCTGCAGGTCCCCGTTTCCCAGCAAAATTCTTGCTTCAGTAACCCCCAGCAGCCAGCATGGCAACGAGACCCTTTTTATGCAAATAGATTCAGTGGCATTTCTACTGGTCCCCGCACGAGTCATGATTTGCCTTTTGAATTTTGGTAAAGCCATTAACAGCAAACATGGGAGCAGGAAAAGACCATCTCCCTTTTCTCCTCCCTTTGGAGGTGGGGAGCAGGGGGAGCCGGCGTGCTGCAGCTTGCTCGCCAGCGAGGTGGAAGGGAAATGAAACGCAAACAAAACGCAGGCGGGAAATATTTTGTTGCTGATTAAAGAACGAGTGGATTGCTGCCACCGACAGCGCTTGCTTCGATCCCTCTAAGCTTGTGTGGAATTAATTAGGTAAACCCCCTAGCATTTACCTTGGGCTGTGGTATCACCTGGAGGAGACTTGGCATGAATTAGCACTGGATTATCATAGGAGCTTGCGCTGCGAAATGATCTGTCTAGTGAGAGTCTGCCAAGTAATTCACAGGAGGTGGCAAACAAAGTGGCATTTTCATAATTTTAATTAGGTTTGGGGGGAAAAAAGGTTAGCTTGAATAGAGCAAGAGGCAGAATGATGACCTTACTGAACATCTCATGGACTTCCTTTTGCACGGCTGGGATATGGGGACACACACTGCAAATTTGCTCAGATGTTTCCTCGCTACTTAGAGAATTTAAAAAGGGAGGGGTTGATGTTTTTTGATAAGATAATAGGAGATAAGATTGCGGTGGAAAAAGGCTTGGTTCAGGCATCAGAGAAAGGGTTGCTGTGACCTCCGAGTAGGGATGGATGCGCTGCGTGTAGAGGCTGGAAAAATGCCACCAGATGTCTCTGTAGCCTAAAAGATGTAGGGAGGCTGCTGGGCACACCAGCACCACCACGGACTGCCTTGCCTGCGTTTGCTCTTCAGTAAAGGGGAGATTTAATGGAGAAAGAGAGGCACGCAAACTCTGAATTAACCCCCCCCATGAACCGTTCCTCCTCCTCCCCAAATGCAAAGGTTGGCGACTCCCATCCAGATCGCGACTGGTTTCTCCCAAAGGGATGGAGCCAGATTAGGCCATAAAGTAACTTTTTCTTCTGTTTTGGGGAAAGGCTGTTCGTGCAGCTTCACGGACAGTGCTTTGCCTTACACAGAACAGGTCTGCGCAAGGCAAAGTTCTGACTTGCTTGTCTCCAGGGTCACCGTCGCTGTACTTGTGACAGCAACTGGGCACCTCGAACAGCTTTGGAGGCAATAATCAATCCTATCCTTCAGCGTCCCCATAAAACAGGGAAGTTAAATCATTTACCAAAAATCTCACTGGGAATAAAGTGCATGGTCAGGCATAGGATACATGGACTTAATTTACTTCTCCCTTATATTAGCAGTGGTGATTACAATTGCATACAGAAAGATCAAAGTGTTTTCTGATTCCCAGGTCTCAGCCACAAGAATCACAGCACCATTTACCACCCAAGACAGCAATTATTTGTGCTACCAGTGAATTAAAAAACAAAGAAAAAAACAAAACTAATTTTCTGTGTGTAGCTCCGACCTCCTATCTGCATTTTAGGGCAGTGTGAAGGGCAGCCAGGCTGGTTCTCTTCACTGCCCTGTGGGCAGTTTTAAATTTCACTGAGGAAGGAGGTGGTAAGGGAAGGGAGAGTGGCAAAAATTAGATCTGAGGGAGGTCAACTCTATCCACTTAACTGCTATTGACCCACTTGTAACCAGAGCTGAGCCCAGCCTGGGTATTGGAATTCCTCCGGCCACATCTCTGACAATGTGCAGGGCCTGAAAATATCTAAATCCCTGTAGCACAGTGAAGTCCCTACAGCCTGAAAACCGCCATAGATACTGCTTGTCTCATAGCTGCCTGGGGCTGAGCATAGTAAGAATGAGAAGCTGGGGTACATTTACTGGGGGATTAAGAGGAAGAAGGTACTTTCTTCCCTCTTGCTGGGTAAAGCGTGGAAAGCCCCAGGGAATTACTGCTCTGTGTTTCAGTTGATGCACTAAAAAAACCCAAACCTTTCTGAGAAAGGATCTTTACAATTATGAAAATCTTGTGCTTTAGTCTGATTCCCCAGTTCCTGAAAAGTTCCCCAAATTGCAGCTTATTTTAGGGCTGCAGCCCACCATTTTAGGACTGCAAAAGTAACAAAGTATAATGGAGCATCAGGCCCACATTTCTCTCCGGACTCCCGAGTACACTTTCCTCATACAAGTGCATGAAAGGGAAACCAGATACTCATAGCCTCAGTATAAGAAAATTGTGTTAATTTTAATAACTTACAGTGTAACTGTTATACCCTGATGCAGTAGCTGATAGAAAGTAAGCACCAACATGCAACCCAAAAATGTGTCTATTAAAATAAAATAATAATAATAAAAAAGCCTTGGCTTATATTAGTTACATGTTTGGCTGAAAAGCTGAGCCCTGGACTGTATGAGGTGGCTTTGGCTCTGCTGGTCCACAGAAAGGCTGAATTCATTACTCGGGAAACCTTCATGGAAGGCACACTGCCTCGAAACCCAGGGAGCAACATCGATGAATAAGAATGGACACGGGCTAATTCAAACCCTTCTCCCATCTTTCAAACCAAGTTAGTGATTTCTCTCTTCTTTGTGGTTCCCAGCCAATTGTCATTTTCAGTGCATCCTATCGCCCCGCAGTACAAACTGTTCTGGGAATACACTTCATTCCTCCAGCAGCCTCTCAGCAATGCCAAGGAATGTAGCTCTTCTGGTTACAATTAAGAAATTCAACATATAAATGCTCCCCAAGTGCACCAGAACCTGCTTGTGACCTTCACGCAACTGAATCTGAAGGAGTCGAAGCAATTTTTTGTTCTTTGGTTCCAAAAAAAAGGGGGAGGGGAGGGGAGGGGAGGGAGGGAAACCCCCATTCCTCCAGCAAGGCACCGTGGTTTCAGGGGTCAGCTGCACAGAAACTGGCACAGGGAAGCGCAGTTTCCAGGGCTGCGTTCCCACAAGGAGCTCTGGGCTGCGGGGTCGCTGGGAGGATGCCAGCCCGTGCTGGCAGAGCCGGCGTGCTGCGGCACGTCTGCCGGGTAGGCAGGTTTAATTCCCACCACCGCATAGCAGAAAGTGTGCTGGCAGGGCGAGCGGAGGCAGCAGTGGAGCCTACCTGCCTGCTGCCACGCTCTGCTGGGGACCTCTGGTCCCCAGGGCCACCCCTGAGCGGCTGGGGGGGCTGCCTCTTGCTGCCTCAGCTCCATCCCCTCGGACTGTCGCTCTCTGTTTGAACTCTTTTGGGGCCTCTGGGTAGACGCTTTGAGAGCAAACTCTACTGCTGCCTTTTGTCATGTTACATCTCTTCCAGGATTGTGTCCAGGTGAGGCAGATTAAGAAGCTATTGCAGAATAGCTCTATAGTATCTATTTATAAATATAGTGTCTATTTAAGCAAAAAAGCAAATACTTTTTGATTGAGCATGAACATATTAGACGCCTTTGAGGTTCCTCTCCTGCCTCTCCTAAGCCTCTGCATTTTCAGCCATAAGCCGGCTTTAAAACTCTCTTTCCCCTAAAACTCAGGGTGACACTATTACTCAAGATGAGAAATATATTTGTGTTTTCCAGATGGCTGGAGATGGCGAAGGAATAGCATGGAAAGTCCTTGATGTGGAATCTCATTATCCGAAAGAACTTGGGGGGTCCCTGGAGCTCTCCAACGACACCTTCTTTTCACTGAGGATCAAAAACGCGACCAGCCGAAACAGCGGGACATATAAGTGCACTTTGGGGGAACAGAGTGGAGAACGCAATCTGAGTGGCACAGTCACATTAAAAGTAACAGGTACAGTAGAGACTCTTGACTGTCCCGTGCTCCACGTGGCATTTCATGAAGGCAACAGTTTAAAAATACTTTACAAACACCAGCACAATGTAGCACCTTGCTTTACATTTTAGGTTGCCCTGGAATAGAAGATGAAAAATTAAAAAAATACAAAGCCGAGCTTTTCATGCTGACGTGCCTTGGGATTTTTTACTTGCTGCTCATCTTTTTTACCTGTGTAAGTAACTCCCTTTTTCATAAACAAACCAACCAAAACCAACAAAAAAACCCCCGCTCATTTTCTCTGCTAGCACCACTTTAACACGGTGATCAGAAGTTGGTGTTCATACTTAATTTATGGTCAGATCCTTTAAATACTCACACACTATTTTCAAAGTCAGGAAGGAAACTCAGGTGCACGAGGAACACAGGATGGAGTCCCAAAGAGATAAAACATTTCACTGCACCCTGATCTAACTCAAACCAGACAGTTATTTTCCTGCACCCCGTTGCCCATTTCTGCTTCCAGTTACTCTGAGTGCAAGCTACTCTTCAGTTTAAGGGCACATCAACAGCTCTTCTGGTTTGGTTCTTGGGAATAGCATTTGCCCGAGATGGAGGCACAGGCCCCTGGGATCCCGCCCCACCTATGGCATTGCTTTGTGTGGCAGCATGATGGGCAGGTTCAAGTCCACCTATTTTTTGCCTCAGTTTCCAGACCTGTAAATTGGTGACAACCCCATTTCAGACGGGCATTTTTGTGAAGCTCCGTCTTTCTTGGTACACATTTTTAAATCCTTGGAAAAGAACCTCCTCGGGTTTTTATCCATACCCTTAATGCTGGCAGGTAGTTCTGGGAAAGGTGGGGAGAGGAGGTATTTGGGAAGCTCAGTTCACAGAAGCAAAAGTATGTTTTTTCTGCGGTAGCGGTGAAGTCACCCCCTCAGGCAGAAGAACCAGGAGGTCTGCGCCTCCTGGCTTAAAGGCAGCCTGAGCCTCAGGTCTCGGTACAGTGCAAAACGGGCTGCATTTCTAATTAAAAACAAAACCAACCCGAGCATTTTGGGAGGTCAGATTTAACTTTTGCTGCCTATTTCATGTTTGCCTTCTTGTTTTGCTCCTCAGCAGATGAATCATAACTGTTGATTGGAGAATATCTAATTAGCTGCAGCTAAATGTAGCTTTTCATGTATCTTCAGGGAGCAATTAAATTTATGCCTGTCTCTTTTTTAGATTGACAATCCTGCCAGTAATTTGTGCCATTCAGACTGAAGTTTGACAAGATAAATCTTGTAGGAATTTGTTAGGATGAAAGTATGAAAGCAAGGATATCACTCAGAAGAGACAGATGCCCCTGTTCTGCTCAGTGTCCTGAAAGAATTTCAGATCTCTACAGAAACCTCTCCTTCCCATACGTAAAAAAAAGTCCCAGTTTTAGTGGTGCAGTTAAAAAAAAGCAGAGCCATGTAGTGAAGATAACCACTCTGCTGGAATTACATGTATCTTACTCTTGGGTGAGGTCCAGTCTCAGATATCAACCTAGCTTTCATCAAAATTTAATGTTGCCCTGATCTCACAAGTGAGCTTCATTATTTAAAATGCCTGTTAAGTTCTTACAGGTTGCCTTGTCCTCTCCTTTAGTGGAGATGATTGTGCCTTATCTCTACTAAACTCAACAGCGACATTAAGTTTAAGACTGGTTGGCAGGACTGGGACTTTACTTTGACAACTTGATGAAAATATTTCAGGCACTGGCCTGCATGGAAGGCAGGTGGAAACACACTTGCAAGACCTTGATGCAAGGCCTGTTCATATGAAAATTTGAATTAGATATAAATTTCCCTTTGTGACTAAGGCTTTTGTCCTATATACCTCCTTGATTGAGCAAGAAACAGCAGCTTCTCTTTGTGCTGGGTGCTTCTGGTGACAAACAAATGGAAAAGGCATAATGAGCTATGGTTAGCAAGGAGAAAAAGCAAAACTTTCAAACTTTAACAAAAATTGCCTTTCATAGGAATTCTCAGTTTTAAGCTTTCCTTTCTGTTTTCTCTTTTAGACATGTCTAAGAAAAGAGAGTATGTCTTCCAATTATCAAAAAAAGAGACCAGATATGAAACACATGCTCACTCTCATCAATGTACATGAAATGACAACTTTCCAGGACTTAAACAGCAACAGCACTTGCAAAAATGAGCTTACTTCAAGTTCTGTCTAAGTTGATGTTGACGGCACCGTGGGCTCATCAGTAAACACGACACGAGCTGGATGGCCGAGTGGTACGGAGAGGAAATAAACGCTGATATATGGCCTCTTCAGAACAGCCTGACAGTATAGGTGACCTGTCAGTGATCTGCTTGCGCTGGACAAGCCTTTGAAAAGCACTGTTACGCACTACAGTAACTTTTGGGAGTCAGGCGGCTAAGAAATACCATTACAGCTATACAACGGTGTTACGATGCTGTTGTGAAGCTGGCATCAACTTTTTTTCACTCTGCTGTGCAGCCCTCTTGTTCTGAGCACGAACATGCCTGTGATACAACTTATAGGGAGGCCACGGCAGCACAAAGCCGGGGGATTAAGCTCTTCAGTAAACTAATAGCTCTCATCTTTCAAAAGCAAACACAACAGGTGCTGCGGTATGGAAAGATAAGTGTGCGGGGCTGCCTCTGCTCCGTGCTCTGAGCCTGATTCTGGATGGAGTTCCTTTACTGCAGACGGGATGTAACTTGATGTTCAAGTAAGCTGAAGAGGTAACGTCATGCTCTTGTCCTGGATGAATCAAATCAACATTCGTTTTTAAATCTGAGAGTGACAGGCGGGCTGAAATCTAAGAAGGGAGAAAATATTCTGAAAATCTTTCTGGACCAAAAGGAACTTTCTATCTCTGCAAGAGAAGTAGGGATGCATTTGCATAACATCAGTTATTTCCCAAAGGCATCTCCATAGGAATCCATGGGTCAATCCGTCGGAAGTTTCAATGAGACTGTTAACCTTAAAGCAACGAAAGTAAGAATGAAGCAGCCTGTGATATTAAGGGCATGTAAAGATGACTTATTTTGTGGTTTATAAAACATGAAGCCAAATGTATGCGACACCCACGTCAGTCAAGTTACACAAGTGATGACCAAAGCCACAGCTTGGAAGAAATCAACTGTCTGTATCCTTGGGATGTAGTAAGTCAGCTGTGAGATATAGGAATGGAAGATGGGGCATATGACCACCTGCTTTTGGTGTTGAGAGTGTGTAGTATATGTGAAACAAGGACATGAGAAAAGCTGAACTCAGGCACACAGTATAAGGGAGAGAAGGCTTGTCCTCTTGGAGCAAAGAAAGCAAGACAGATTCTGGAGTCTGAAATCAAGGAACCTCCCTTATCGGGCTGCTGGTGCAGAAGGTGAAACAAGAGGAGTCTAGAGTGACTGTGGGTGTTTGTGCCACAACATAAGAATTTGAGCCAAAACATGAGAATTTGCAAGCACTTAAGAACAAAATCTAAAAAAAAAAAAAAAAGTCCTTCAAGAGTTAAACTGCAACATTAGGATTTTTAATGCAGTTTGGAATTCCAGGCTGTGACAAGGATGCTCTTTCTGTAATCCTTTGACTAATTTTGAAGCGCTGATGGGAGGAAAGCACTGTGCATCACTCAGTAGGGCCTCTGTGAGCAGGGTAGATGTCTCCATTGATGGAGTCTGAGGAGCTCCTGGGCAGAAGAATGGTTACAAGGGATATGCAATTTACTTAGAGCATGGTAAATTAATGCCACATTTGCTTCTTTATAATCAATTTTTACATATAAATGCGTGTAACATACTTGAAATAAAAATTCAGAGGTAACCTACCATTTGTTTTTGTGTGCCACGTATGGCAAATAAACCCAGAAATACTCCGTATCAATTGCGTTTTATTTTACAACTGACATAATTACATGAAATAATGTAGATGCCTGATCCAGCCTCTTCTGTGGGAGAGGGCATGTATGTGTGTATAATTGATTAAGCAATGGATAATTTTATGCATTTCTAAGGAACTCAGATAATTTAAATTTTCCTCAAAATTTCACTTTCTGTCAAAGTACATTCTAAAGACTTGCTTCCTACTGACAAGCAAGTCATTAAGGAAAATACAAGGGTGTTTCAGTCTACCCATGGTCATTTTTAAACATGGCATACCATCATGGGTGACCTGTACATGTAGGCGGCAATAATACGAACTAAACGTGCGTGTATAATAACTGACCTAGGGTACATCGAGTTCCTCCGTTTGGTCAGAAAGGCTTAATATCTGACAGTCAGAGTTTTTTGTTTATTCTTTTACTATTACTAAATTTTTTTTTAGGAAAGCGGACAGGAGGAAGGAAGGGAAAATTCAGTTGGAAGGGGTTGATAATTAATCAACAGCAAGGGCTAAAACACTTTTAAGTTAAAATTATTTCTTCAGATGTATAAATAGGATCAGATCAGATAGGACAGAACAAAAAAGGGGACTTTGTGTAAACAACTATGCCCATTATTTTTTCCCCGAGCCAAAGTGTCTGCAATACAGAAGATTGAGCCTGACGCAAGAACACTGGGAGTCAAATTTCAGGCTCAGAAGTTTCAGGCTGGTTGATTCTGGGGATTTGCTGTAGGCCCAGCTGTGCAGTAGAAGTGATCATGTTCAGGGCCGCTTAAATGCATTAAAGAGTTTAGAAGGAGTAAGGAGTGAGAAAGTCTTATGCCAAGATGCTTGACTGAATCGCAGAGCTGGAGAGAAACAGGCAACGTCCTAAAGTGATGAAGGTGCCTGCACATCTGGGGTGTAAAGGATGTGAAGAAACTATTGTGGCATTGTAGGACAAAAACTAACATTAGCTAGAAATATTATGAATGAGAACCAGACAACTGAAGGATAAAAGCTAATATATTACAGCAACTTCAGCACTAACAGGGAAGAAGAAAAAAAATCACGTGTTGGCTGAAAATCTTAAAGAATGAGCTACACATTTTTCAACATAGTATCTCAGAAGAAACAGTCCTTTCCTTGCAATTACTGCCTCAGCTAGCCTGGCATACAGGGGATGTGCACATGGACACATTCTTTAACATTTCATTATTAAAGGGAATGTGTCGTGAATTGCACAATCGAGAGGCTGTTCTGATTATACAGATTAATTGCTTTGTTGGACAGAAAAATTTGTTTTATTTTCCACCTCTCTTCTTATTATCGATGCTTTTAGTTTTGTAAGATAGTATAAAAGCATATGTGTATGCTAGAACTGTTCTTCATAATACTTTCTTACAACACTTTTTAGAATCAGGAATCCGGTTAATCCCATGAGGTGGGAAATACCATGATCTTTTTTTTATAAATAAAAGCTAAGACACCTGGAAATCAGAAAGCTCCTGAAGAAGTCTGGATCAGAAGTGGGAAGAGATCTGAGGTTCCCTGACTCTCCTCGGGGTGCCTTAACCACAGGAGCTTCCTTGTTAATATTTCTTGTGGGTTTTGTAACTTGCTCATTGATTTTTTTTTTTTCCTCAGTAACCTGCATTTTTCTGTTGTTTTGTCCAAAGGTGAGCCATCTGCATTCAAAGATAACAATAAGCATTATACATAAAATTATTCATACAGAGTGAGTTTGTATGCCTGTGATTAAGGAATATACAGAGAAACACTGCACCACGCGGGGAAATTACCCCAAAGAGAAATTGCAACAGTCATACACTGGAGCTAAATGAATACCCAAAATGGCAATGAGGGAAAGCTAAAGGACATAATCCACAAAATGCTGAGTGTATGAATTATAGCCCTTAGCTAAGCCCGATTTGTGCGGCTAGCACTTACACAGCAGATAACCCAGGCTGACAGTGACCTTGACAGCATTGCAACAGTAATATTTCCTGTAAAGGCTGAACAGCTTTCAACCTATTTCTCCTGAGCAGGAGCTACAAGCACACTTGTATTTGACAACATGGACCAAAGTAATCCTCGGTATGTGCCTGTGAGTGATACAAACGGAATACGTCTCTTTGGGCATGCTGAATGCCTTGCTTCCTTCTTTCTTCTGCCCTTGATGAGAGTGTTTTGGAGAGCATAAAGCACATTTCCCCAGTGCACGCGTTCCCTTTCTTCCCCCTCTCAGAGCGGAGCCGAGCAGCGATGCAGCGCAGAGGGAATCTGGTTCCAAGTCTGTTGAGCAACTGCAAGTATTTAGTGACCTTCTCAACCAATACGTCTGCCCCTTGGGAACTGCAATTGATTTTCCTCATCTTTGTACACGAAGACTATGCTGTAACATTATGTTACAGCTACGTAGTTAAAGGTAGATTAGAAGTGCTTTCCCCATACCTCCTTTTTAAGTAAATATCAGCGAAACCCCTAATCCTTAGTCATTTGTGGAACAAACTGCTGGGGAGATTAAAGAGTTACAAATAAACGCAATATCAAATCTTTCGGTTGATGGTCTGTTCTCTCTTCACTTTCCTGCCAAGACCTGTGTGTGCAGTACTCTCTTTTTGCTGACTACAGCTGATACTACTTCTGCGTAAAGCTGCGAGAAGAGTGCCGTTAACTCTCCGGAACGGTGACGTAAATCCTGAAAAATCCACCAAGGAAATGGGTGGTGGCCAGACCGACATGGGTCACTGCGAGGAGCAGTGGGTCCTTTGAAGGGTTCATTTTACATCCAAGCCATACAAGTCTTCCAACTCTCTGATGGAAAAGCTTGCTACATCCCTGTGCTGAGTTACAAGTGCATCTGTTATGTTGCAAATGGGCAGCCTGGGCTGATTTTAAGCGTTTGCTCTGTTACAAGACAGAAGTCACAACCAGTGCAAAAAAAAAAAAACCCCAAACGCAAGCAAAACTAATAAATCCAACCCCACGGACAGGTTAAGGCAAGGGGCAACAACTAAGAGAAGAGACGGGTCCTAAGGGAAACACGGATTGCAAAAGCCCTGTGCAAACACGGGCTTTGCTCTCTGCAGAGTCTTTCAGTTGCTTCTGAAAAGAGTAAGAACAGCCTGTAGTGGTTGGGGTTTTTTTGTTTGGTTGTTTTTAAAAACATTTGCACTGTGTACCTCAGTTTCCCTATCTCTAAATGGGAGTGGATGAGTTCAAGTGTTGTCTTACGTGAGAGGCAGGGAAACTGGCAATATTTACACCTTATTGCCTACTTGGAGCTGAAAGGAACTTTTTACCCAAGTTGTCCTTCAGGGGAGAGGAGGCTTGAACTGC